AATAAAAAATGGGGGTATCCATTTAAAAACATCATTGTGACCTTGACCTGATCTTTATGACGCAACTCAAGGTCAAACTGCTAATATCATAAAATAGATCTTTTTAAACCCTACAACTTTTGTATTTAACATTTTTTTATACAACGCTTTGTTTTCGAGATATTCAGGTGTTCCGGTATATAATATTCACCCTGTATATATATATATATATATATATATATATATATTTTTTTTTTATTTATTCATATACTTATTGTAGTTTTTATTTCACTATTGTGTATTAAGTTTATATATACATTTATTCATATTGCATATAAGTTTATATATACATTTTATTCATATTGCAAGTGGTTCTGCACTTTATCAAACGTGATAAAACAGCACGGCGTATGTCATATTCCATCTCTCTCTTCCTTCCTGTTTTACCATCGAAATCTGACTTCTTGTTTCGATTTTTTGACATTTATCCCTCGAAGGCATGCATGATGTTGATTACATAGGGTGCTTTCCAGTTGCGTACACTGGGTGCGTTCGTTTTGGACACTCACATACTTAAAGCGCTCACTCTTATAAGCGCTATTTTTGCCCGGTTACTTTGATTTCTAAGCGCACTCATCGAAAAGATCATAACCGTTTCCTTTGGCTGTTGTAAGCAATTGTGAGCGTAAAAATGGAGGATAAAGATAAGGAAATTGTTTGTGTATTTGCTCAAATATTAGTTTCATTAGATGTTTTTGATGATAACGAAACAAATAACTTATATAAAGAAGAATTAGAAAAGTATTTATCCGTAATGATTGGATTAATAAAAAAAACAATACCTCGGTTAAAAAACTATGTGGAAGTGGTTGTACCATTATACAATGATGAAGTATTTAAGTCACATTTTAATAACTTTTCACTTTATAACTTTTGTTTTATTTAAGATCAACGATTTTAACTTTCATATTTATGTTTTATACAACAAAATATGAAGATTTAGGTAAAATAAATTTGTGAGAAAGTCCGTTTCCTTCATCAAATGTATTACTAGTGTTGCTGAAATATTATTTATTTTTTTTTAATTATTGTTGGACAGTGCTTTATTACTCAAAATAAATATGATTTAATAACAAAAATAATAAATTTTTATGAGAGGTATCCTAAACTTACCTGTTTCTACACGTTTTGCCTCATCTGATGTAACAACAAGTATATACATTTTATTATTTGTAACATCTTGCAGAGTTACTCTGGTTTTGTTACTCTCGTTGGAAGTCATTTTGAAACATTATTTCACTTTAAGATTTATATTGGAGGTTAGATTGCGTCGATGAAATCGACGCAATCTAACTTATCGTTCTCTTTGGAAAATAAGCGTTTATAAGTGCTCACGCTTTTACTGCCCTACCTCGATAGAAGAAGCGAATGTAAGCGCGAGTTATGACGTCACGCATGACGTCAATATGCAGTTTCTAAGCGCTTATAATGCCAAAGTGAACGACGTGAGCGATATTTATAAGCACTTAAAGCGCGTAAGCGTTCAAAGCAAACGCACCCACTGTGTCACACAAAACCAGTTTATTGGTTGTATATTATCTTACAAGATATTTTAGATAATATGTGACCAATAAACTGGTTTTGTATACGTGTGTGTCAAGATGTGTTAAGCAATTGGAAAGCATATATAGCGAAGCATTGGGTGCGTTTAAGCAGAGAGAAACCTGAGAGCGACCACGCCATACGTTTTGCCGATACCGATACCGATTTTCACGCTGTTCGATGCGCCATCTGCACCCATTTTTGAGGTGAAACTACGTTCCCTACGCCCATTTTCAGACGCTGCCGGTAAAGTATCAATTTGTTGCGTGTCCATTCGATGCCCATTTTCTGGCGATTTGTGTCCGTGTTAAGCGCATAATTGCATGGTTAAGAACATGGACAGTCCATGTTTTCATCACGCAATTATGCGTTTAACATGGACACGAATCGCCAGAAAATGGGCATAGAATTGACACGCAACAAATCGACACTTTATCGACAGCGTTTGAAAATGGGCGTAGGGAACGTAGTTCCACCTAAAAAATGGATGCAGATGGCGCATCGAACAGCGCGAAAATCGGTGTTGGCCAAATCGTATGACGTGGCCGTTCTCAGGTTTCTCTCTGGACACTTCAAGAGACACAATGGGGGTGGGACCCGATTGACCACGATACGATTGGACACAGATTGTAATGATTGGTTGGACCTAGTAATTCACTAGATAATTATTTTCATCGGTTGGTTGTGTCCAATCGTACCGTGATCAATCGGGACGCTCCCACACAACGGTTACACAACGGTTGAGTAATTAGTTAATGTAATTGGTCTAAAGTTAGGGATCTAACAGTAAGGACCAATAATCATTGATCGCTCACTGATCAGTGAGCGGTCAGTGATTATTGGTCCTTACTGTTAGATCTCTAACTTTAGACCAATTATATTGACGAATTGCTCAACTATTGAGTTTGCTGAACGCACCCATTGTAAGAATAGGAAAAGTGGGGGTAACTGGCAGTCCATACTTATGGCTTTTGCACACAGGACGCGGTAATGCTTGTCGCGCGACGGAAGTCCGCTCCCACTGGGTGCTTTCCAGTTGCGTATACTCCGTTACACAAAACCAGTTTATTGGTTGCATATTATCTTACAAGATATTTTAGATAACATGTAACCAATAAACTGGTTTTGTGTATGAGTGTGCCAAGATGTGTTAAGTAATTGGAAAGCACCCACTGTTGACAGACTCTGCGCAAAATCTACTCGCGCAGGTTTGGCTATCTGGGGCTGCGTTCAGATTCCTTACCCGGGTGCACTCTAATACAAGAAGTGCTATAGTATATGTGACATATGTGACATATACTATAGTGTTTCTAGTAACAGAGTGCATCCGGGTAGGTAACCTGAACGCACCCTGGAATATGATTAGTGCGGGGTCCTTTCAAAAAAACTTTATTACTTAAATTTAATAAGTATCTGTAAATAAAATATGTTTCCAAATAAGATGTATATTTATTTTTTCCGTTATTTGTAAAACTGAAACCCTGTTTGAAGTCATGAAATGAAACAAATTTAACTTTTAACTCTTTAATTATTTTTTTTTATTAACTTAACTCAATACTTTTAATTCAATTAATTTCATTATGGGTTAACTTTATTTTAACTAAGTTAAATTTTTAAAACCATTAACTTTAACTTAGTTAAAAAAAAGTTACCTTACCTAACCCTGGTTATAGTTCAATGGGCTGAGTACATGTGCGCGTAAATGATGCGGAGCGTGCGCGCGATCTTGTAAGATGGCGGTAGTCATATTCCGGTGCCCGTGTCCTTACATGTCATTGACAGGCAAAGTTCAGGTCGCCGGCAACAGTTATCGGGTGACTGTTGCGAGAGCATTATCTCATCTTAGCCTATTTGTCCGCTGGTCGTGATTATTACTTAGATATATTGCTAGTTATATATCTTTTTTATCGCAGGATTTCTTTCGATTGCAGAGCGTATTTGTAGAAGCATGTCTATTACGGTGACGAGCTTCACGGTGAATACTCGAGTATATGAGGATCAAAAACCAGGTACTTCGGGCTTGCGGAAAGCCGTAAAAGTCTTTCAACAGGAACAGTACACGGAGAACTTCATCCAAGCGATACTACACGCTCTAGGCGACCAACTACCCGGATGTACTCTCGTTGTCGGTGGCGACGGGCGGTTTTACGGGAAGAAAGTGGTGGCGAAAATCATCAAGATCGCCGCAGCGAATAGAGTAAGTCGATCGTCCAACAACGTACATCAAATTATTTTCAGGATTATCACATAGTCTATAAAATAATTGTCGCAATCATGGGTCGAATTTCAATTTTGGATCAAACTTAGTTTATTAATTATTAAAAAAGTACACATAATGAAAACATTTTTGTTTTTTAATTCTTTAATTTATTTTTTATATAATTTTATTCTCTAAGATTATACATTTATAAACATTGTTAATATTTGAGAAAAAATCTAAAGAATATAATTTGTTTTACCAATTTCTTTAGATTTATAAGACTATTAGTAGGTTATGTTACATATATCATTATTCTATATAAGCTAAAACAATATGAATATGGATATTATTAACACAAAATTGTGTATTGTATAATCGTTTATATAGACGCGAAATAATTTGCTGACCTCTAATTGGGACTTAAATACATAAATATTCTTAATCTTTTTTTAATTTAGAATTTAAAGTTTGGTAATTTTGCTTTAAAACTATGATGTTTGTTGCTTATGGTATTAGTAGTGCTTTTTAATCTGCAAATTGATATAAATAAGTGAAATTGATTCTAAGCTTTAATGATTTATAATTATAACCATTACTTTTTTGTCCGAATAATCTATGAGCTACATAAAGATACTGATAATTTTACATCAGGATCATAAAATTAAGATACATAAGAACATCAAAAAAGACAAATATCAAATGATTTTAACAAACTTGTAATTTGATATCCTGAAGCATACTTGTCTATATATAGCGTGTAACGTATCTAAATTCTGCTAGTGTTATATATCACATATAGAGAGTATAATTTTCAAGACTAGAATTATATTAAATGATTTATTCAATGGTACTAATTTTAATAGTACTAATAAAATTAATTTCATTGAGTTAATTATAATTCTCCTATAATTATATTATCATAAAACTTTTTAGGTAAGGAAATTAATAGTGGGTCAGCATGGTATTCTCTCAACACCAGCTGTATCAACTATAATTCGAAAGTATAAAGCACAAGGTGGTATCGTCTTGACGGCGTCGCATAATCCTGGTGGTCCTAATGCTGACTTTGGTATCAAATTCAATTGCGACAACGGTGGTCCTGCACCAGACAATGTAACAAACAAAATCTATGAAATTACTAAAATGCTCCAATGTTATAGAACCATTTCTGATGTTAGTGTAGATATTGATAAAATACAAACTGTATCAATCGAGGTAGATGATAAACCATTTACCATCGATATAATCGATTCTGTGAACGATTATGTGGAGCTTATGAAGGAGATCTTTGATTTTGCAAGTATTAAAAAATTATTGCAAGGCGATAAGCCGGCATTTAAAATACTCATCAATTCTATGAATGGAGGTTAGATATTACACAACTTATATATATATATTTTTTTTTCTTCTGCTTCTACAGATAAGTTTTACAGATACAGTGTATTATGAGTAGAAATTAGAGAGAGGGAGAGAGAATAAACTAATTTAAAATTAAATTTAAAACTTATTAATTCAATAAATATAGATTAGATATTACATAATTTACATTTCATTTCTGCTTTTATAGATAAGTTTTACAAATAAAGTATTATAAGTAAAAATAAATTGTTCAATAACTTTCAGTTACAGGGCCGTATGTAAAACGAATATTTAGCGATGAATTAGGTGTTGACCATACAAGCTTAGTAAATATAAAGCCTTTAGAAGACTTTGGTGGTTTACATCCTGATCCAAATTTAACTTATGCCAAAGATTTAGTAAATGCTATAAAGAAAGGGCCATTTGAATTTGGCGCAGCATTCGATGGAGACGGAGATAGAAATATGGTAAATAATATTGGTTGCAAAATATTACAAGAAATTTAGTAGCCAAGTCTGGTATAATTTCGCTAAATTTTTATTGTGATAGTTGGCATTTCTTGCGCCACAACTATGCTAATTGTCAAAATGAAAATTTTGCGCAACATCTCAGAATATCAAGGAGTTATTTTGAACAAGAATTGCATCGAATTTGATAACTCTAGAAATTAGTTTATATAAAATATTATTTTGATATTTTTTAATATAGTTCTTATACTTTTACAGATCTTGGGCAAAAAGTCCTTCTTCGTTACTCCCTCTGATTCTTTAGCAGTGTTAGCGGCTAATTTGAATTTAATCCCATATTTCCGAAAGACTGGTATTAAAGGATTCGCTAGGTCTATGCCAACGGCTGCGGCTGTCGATCGAGTCGCTGCTAAGAATAACGTTAAGTTCTTTGAAGTTCCTACCGGATGGAAGTACTTCGGTACGTAAGAATCTTATCTGATTGCTATAAGTTTATTAAAGATTTCTAGCTTATTTTCTTGATATGAATTTTAGGGAACTTAATGGATGCTGGAAATTTGTCGCTATGTGGAGAAGAAAGTTTTGGTACTGGTTCTGATCACATTCGCGAGAAGGATGGTATATGGGCGTGTTTAGCATGGCTTAATGTGATTGCAGGACTTGGAAAGTCTGTGGAAACTATTTTATTGGACCATTGGAAACTTTATGGAAGAAACTTCTTTACTAGGTATATATCTTGACAATTCCGCACAATTATATAATTATATAATATTAACTTCGCTTTGAGCTAAAAAAATTTGAGAAATAACGTACTAATTCTTTTTACTTATCTGAATATCTAAAGAGATTTTATGTATGGTTTTAGGTATGATTATGAAAATTGCGACTCTGTGAGCGCGGATAAAATGATGCAGAGCATCGAAGCTCTCATTCAAAAACCAGAATTTATCGGTAGAAAGCTACAGTACGAAAATAAAGAATACATTGTTAAGCAAGCGGACAATTATTTCTACGCGGATCCTGTTGATGGTAGCAAAGCTACGAAACAGGTATATTTTGTCATTTTATGTTTTTAGTTTAATCATATATGTTCCAACTATATTATTTTGTATGGTAGGGTTTACGGATATTGTTTGAGGATGGTTCTCGTATAATATTCCGTCTATCCGGAACGGGAAGTTCTGGTGCTACTATACGTATGTATATTGATAGTTACGAGGATGATCCATCTACTTTCGAGAGAGACGCACAACTGGTCTTAAAACCTCTTATTAATATTGCCTTAGAATTAAGTGAACTTCGTCAGCACACTGGTCGTGATTCACCGACTGTGATTACGTAAAATCTTATCTTTTTGCTTTATTGTTGAGGAATTATTTTAATTTTATTCTATTCGAAAGTTATTTATTCAGAGAAATTTGTAAAACTAGAATCTTGTCAATACAAATTTATTTGGATTTTAGAGATTCTTTCTAGTTTCATTATCGTCGAATTCGCAAAGCAATAGCATAGTAATCGTTATTGACGTCAATGAACGAATTTTCCATTTTTATAAAATGTTACCAGTTTACGATTCCATCCATATAATATACATACATACATATATATGCACAACATTATGCATATTGAACAAAAACTATTCGAGACGCATATGAAAAGTAACTGAAAAAGAAGCATTTTAAGATTTGTATACTAGATATTTGCTAAATGTTATTGCTGTAATCGTTATCTTTCGATTCGTATTGACCATAAGGAAGTGTAACTTAAACTTATTTCAATCCTACTTTTACTTTAAGTTCCGAAAGAACATTGGTGGTGTTCTTGAATCACTAAGAGCTGACTTTATCTTATGGTCTCTCTAATTAGAGACAATAATTTGCGTAGAAATATATATTAATAAGTTATACATATATAGCTCATATATTTACATAAGTTAATGAGCAGCTTAAATTATCTTTATTGTGCATTATAATATGGATATGTCTGATATACATGTAGGTATTCTACATGTACTGTAAAATCTCTTTTGGGATACTTTGATGTTTTACAACCTTTCCATATTAAGTTGCAAGAAGACATCATAAATATGCAATAATTCATCTACTTGTTGCCACAACATAAAAAATGTAGACTATGATTTGATTTACAGAGAATACGTTTTCTTCAAAAAATGTTTAGTATGAAATATACTTATTCATCACATTGTGGATAATATATATAATTTATTTTTTATCGAAAGCTGACGCTAAAGATGATAAAAATCTTTTAACATTTACATATATTTATATTATATAATTTATAATATCTTTAATATTTCTCTCTCTCTCTCTCTCTCTTTTTTCTACATTTTATATATATCACGAATAATCACGTGCATTCTGCGGTATGTAAAAATATAATTTGTAAAAGTGACGATATTGAATGGACAGGGTTTGTACATTGTCAATCTTCCAAAGCATTATGTCTATCCATGATTCATCTAATATTCGTTCTATAGTTACCATTTAATTTCATCCATAATTTCATAGTGAAAACATTATTTCATATTTTAATTTGGATGCTTTTTAAGAAAAAACGTTAATCTAGTATTAAGTTCGAAATATGATTGGCTTAATAATGCAGAATTATTTTACTACCAATTATATGACTATATCAACCGAAGTATGCAAAAGAAGGTTTAGAGACTGGATTTCTATTCTTGATAGCATAATATTGGAGGATTAACAAAAATGTAAATTCAATACTGTCTTTAAGGGTCTGTCTTTCCAACATTGCTTAATTGTTTTTATCACTCTATTGATATTGTAGCAATTGTGTTATATGATTTAAACAGATATAAGAGATATAAGATATCTCTTAAGTAGATTACTACTTTATGCGAAGATGGAATGATTGGCCCTATGAGTATATTGAATATAGTATAATGAGTAATAATAAGGGGCTTTCATATATTATGCTTTACGTGCGAGCGTGCGTAAGGTAAATAATTATTTTATTAATAAATTTAGTCATCTCAATTTTAAAAGTCTGCAATTCCATAAATGTATATGTGGTAATACTATTTCGAACTTATACAATATGATGCAGAGTTTTTCCGAATATTTGTCGAATATTTTGTAAAAGTTATATTTGAATTTAAGGCTTTACTATCTTCGCGTAGAAAGTCAGAGTTGACGGTGGCGTTTAGCAGTGTCGAGAATACGAAATAACCGTGTCAGCGTAGCTGATTGGCTGACACTCGGCCAGGCTCACGGTTAGGCCTTGCTTGATACCTCGGAAAATTACTTGCATTTTATCGCATTATTTTTCAGTTTCTCCGTGAAGTGTGTATATTATCGTGATCCTCACAGCCGTAAAATGTACAGCAAACTCAGTGATACTGGTGATATATTATGAAAATCGAGAAATTAAATGTGTTCATACAGGCTGGTATCTCAGCTGTCAAACCACCGTGACAGCCGAAAAATATAGCATTATTTCAGGAATTATTTTACGATACTACGTGATATATCAGCCAGATATCTAAGTTTGCTGTACTTTTTACAGGTTTCAGGACTAGGAAAATATTTGGTTCTTTAGGGAAAAGTAAAAATTAAAGCAATAAAATGCAAGGGAATTTCGGTATGTCATTTCTCATTTTTTATGTCATCAAACTAATATGGCCGCCCCAGAGATAGCAGAGCCTTAATGTTATATAGATTTCTTTATATTGATAAATTAATATTCAATGAAATTGGAATGGGGAAGATGTAAAATCTTTTTTACACTCGATATTGTACAGTAGCATATATAAAATCATCTATATAAAAAATTATATCAACTATTGCGACACAAGTGTAATACGGAGAGTATGTTAAAATTAAAAGATTGAAATTTTCGTAGATAGTAGCGTATACTGTAGGAAGTTTTATTTTTTATCAAAGCAATTTTTCGTATCTTTCTGGAACATTGTAATAATTTATATTAATATTCTTCTCGTGCGTATCGATCAGTTTCATAATATTTCACAATTTTTCTTTTTGCTGTACACTATCGCATTTAAGTGTCTATAGTTTTCTGAAATTCTTCTAGCTACATCTGTGGTACCACATTAATGATTATAGCTTAGTTCTACTCAGATATTGAAAGAAATATGGATGCTTAATTTGGTGAATTCTCCAAAAACTGAGGGATAGTCAAGAGAATCTGTATTTGTCTCAATTTCTTCGAATTTGGGCAACTCCAAATATAGCGATGTAGGTTGCAAATTCATATTTAGCGCGATACTCAACGTTTTGTATAATTCATAATAGTAATTTTGTGAAATTATACAACCGTAACGGAAATCTATATTTGTATCTTATTAAATGATACGTTTGTTTTAGAATCGTACAAATGGTATAATTTACTGAGTATTTCGCTAAGATTAATCGCGATAGAGTAGAATATGTTAATGAGATTTGTATAAAAAAGCAGTGGGGAGATCAGAGATGTATGAATTTCTTCCGAGGAGATCGCGAGTAACTCCAAAGAGTTGACGTAAAATTCTATATATTACAATATATCCACGTAAGAAGAAATGAACAATAAATAGTAATACGAAACGTTCGATAGATATGAGGAGCACGTTATTATACTGCAAAATTATTAGATGTCTTGGCTATAATTAATAACGACGACGCAGATGTATTATGTAACTTATTTCCTTCATTATTTTCATTTCGTCTTTGCTTTTTTCTTTTCCTTTTGTACAATATTTCCCTACCGAGGTTTGTATATCTGAAGTGTCACACAAACGTGTTTATTACAGATTACCTGTACAAAAAACGCGTGATCACATTCATATTTCATTTAAAGAAATCGGTGAAAGATTGCGATATGGCGATACGCTGCGACAGAAGATCCGGTTGGAGTAACAAAATTCTTTTTTTATCTCTTTTTTTCTTGAATAAAATAAACGCAGCGTGTTACGAAGATTCCGCAAGGCAATTATGTAAATAGTTGATGGTGGAGGAGGAGAAGGAGAAGGAGAAGAAGGAGATACTTAGGGACCTGAGCCGACATACGCTCCCGTTCGATCTGTCGATTATGCCCTAGAGAAATATAGAAAGAAACGAGAATATTTTTTCTCTTTCTCTTTCAGAATATACTCTTTAGGACATAACGAAGATTATTCAACGTGGCAGCGATGTTACAGAGACCAGCATTGACTGCCGACTTACTATAAAGATATTAACCATGTAACATTTGTATCATAATCATAATAAATACTAATTGTATCATTATAAGTATGCGAATGGGTGGCTGATCAGAATGCACGTGGCCTAAGAAATCTATTTTACACTGCGTCTGCGTAATTTCTAAATCGAAATCAATTTCTTAATTTTGGTCTAAGTTACCCTTGTCCACAACCTTGCTTTAATTCTTAAGCCGTAAGAAATTGACCAATCACAGTTGATTATTTTTAAAATAATATACTGTGGTTGGTCAATTTATTACGGCTTAAAAATTAAAGCAAAGTTGTAAACAAGGGATTATATGTACCGTTTGGCAGCGTTCTATGACAAATTTACTTCAAGTGCTTTGATTTCGTAGATTTTTGTTGAGATGCCTTTAGTGTCAGCAAGTCGTAAAGAAATATATTACAGTGTTATGTGTATTCATTTGCTACAGCCAGACGATTAAAAATTGCAACTCGATAAGTTTTCTATTAATAATATTAATATAATTTCTATTAATATTATTAATAATATTAATGGAAAACTTATTTATAATATTCTCTTAGTAATTTTTCTCAAATTAAAATTTTCCAACTCATTTTGCATCCAATAGGAAATTCTGAGAATTGTAAGAAACAAATTCTTTTATTGAGTACAGGATACGCACGTTGTAAAACTTAAAGAAACAGTATCGCAACTTTTAATCATCTGACTATATATACATCGAGCACTGTACAAATACTTCTCCATCTTCGTTTGATTCTTTATCTTCATGTTATGAGTTAAGTTTTCGGAGTCAAATGGCTGAATTTATACTAGACACAAAACGCGGACATGCGATTTTGTAAATTATACAATCATATGAATGCAGTCATCCAACTATGTTCAGAGCCTATGTTCAAGCGATTCGTACAATCTGAAAGTATGTGTGTGTGGCGACGACTAATTCAACTTCGAATAAACTTCAGTACACAAACAAGTCTGCGTTATGCTTCATTCTCCTTATCTGTACGCGTTCGTATTTCCTGTAAATATCGCCACAATGTTGCAAACTGGAAACAATCCATTAGAAAAAAGGTGGTCGAGTTTCTGCTCGTCTTGCAAATCCGATATGCAATCCTTTTTGAGTATCGGTATGCCATCGTACCTTGATAAATCTCTCTCCAGTATATCAAATGATTTACAAGACGCTTTGCAGAGTCATGTGCCAAGTCGAGTTACAAACAATGAAAACATAACGATACAATCGACATACGAATTGGAAATACACAATCGGGACGAGTCTTCGGCTTACTTATTAGAAGACTCGAAATGGGATAAGAACAAGGATAATGGAAACAATTTGTTAGAGGAAACCTGGCCAAGTTTCTGCTCGTCCTGCAAATCCGATATGCAATCCTTTTTGAGTATCGGCGTGCCATCGTACCTTGATAAATCTTTCTCCAGTACATCAAATGATCTACAAGACGCTTTGCAGAATCAAGTGCCAAGTCGAGTCGCAAATAATGAAAACAAAACGATGCAATTGTCATACAATCGGGATGAGTCTCTGGTTTACTTATTAGAAGATCCGAAGTGGAATAAGGATGCGTTACTCAATAATTTGCAGATGAAGTCTTCGCAATTCTCGTTGAAACATTCTAACGAGTCTTTTAACGATACAGAAGATCAGATAAAGGCTGACGAAGAAAATATGTTTACGAATGTAACATTTACAACATATAAGACGCAAAAATTAAATGATATTACACTCAAGCAACTGTATGGTTTTATAAATTTGAAAAATCATAGAGAAGTCGTCATTGATTTTCAAAACACATGCCGAAAGCTGTTTGAAAATTTAAAATTACTCAACTCCTTTAAATCTTGTGATTTTAACATGCAAGAAATAAGATCTTTTCAACAAGCCAAATCTGCAGTTAACATGCAGAGTTTGGACAGATGGAAAGAGATACGCAATATAATATTACGAAAAAGTAAAAGTCAGGTCGCGATTGCTTCCAAAACATTCGTTGATTCTGAAGTAATGGAAACTGATCTCAGAAATGGTCGAAGAAGTGTGTATAAATTGGCTATTCAAGTGGCGAAACTGAGGTCAGTAGATAAAATCAGTTTACCTATAGTAAAGTAGGAATTTATTAGTCTATAATTAGTAAAATCTTTAACAGAATTGCATTTTTTAGTACATACATCCGAAATATACATAAAAAATTTTTGTTAGAAAAGGAGAATATGGACATTGTAAGTACATATAAAGATAGTGCCAAAAAACAAGGGTTTTTTAAGAACAATGCAGTTAAATCTTGTGATCATAAAATTCCTCAAAATTTATCTATGTATAGTTATAACCCATTACGGATAAAGGAAGCAGTAAATAAGTAATAGATCGTATAATAATAGAAAAATTTTTCATTAGAAATTTTACTCTTAATATGTTACAAATTGTTTCTTTAATTATAATTTTTCTTAAATAGATAGTTCAAGATAAGTTCAGTATTTATATCACAGATTTATACCATATCAAAATCATCTCTCTGTAACAAAAAAATATATAAGATCAAAATGTAATTTAATTATAAGAAAAATCTAAGGATAATAAAAAGAATTCTTACTTCATTGTTATATTCCAGTACATGTTTTCTAATAGCAGATGTATCTACCCATGTCACAAAATCTTCTAAGTTTCTATAAAATATTAATATCATTTTATTCCACAATTTATATATATATATATATATATATATATATATATATATA